ATTTCCAAACAAGGTTACATTCTGAGGTTCCAGGTGGACATGAATTTTGGAGGAACATTGCTCAACCCAGTGTAGGGGAATTAAGCAAAAAATAGGTTTCTTTCTGCAAGTGTTAGTACTAAGGTAATTGATATTTGAAAGTTGAGAAAACATGGTTACATTCAGGCTACCTTTTTTTAAAAAATAAATATATTTATTTTATTTATTTATTTTGGCTGTGTTGGGTCTTCGTTGCTGTGCGCGGGCTCTCTCTAGTTGTGGCGAGCAGGGGCTACTCTTCGTTGTGGTGTGTGGGCTTCTCATTGCAGTGGTTTCTCTCGTTGCGGAGCACGGGGTCTAGGCACATGGGCTTCAGAAGTAGTGGCATGTGGGCTCCAGTAGTTGTGGCACGTGGGCTCAGTAGTTGTGGCTCGCAGGCTCTACAGCGCAGGCTCGGTAGTTGTGGCGCACAGGCTTTGTTTCTCCTTGGCATCAGGTTACCTTTTAAAGGTAGCACTCACTGGACTTGTTGATCGACTGCATCTCTGGGAGATGGTGAGGGAAGTGGGATGCAGCATAAGTCACTGGAGTTGAGATGGTCAGGAAGTTAGGAGGCATTGCATTTGATGACTCAGCCTCCTTAATGTTGGCTTCATGAAAAAGGGAGTAGTCACTTCATTTCCATTCAATAAGTAGTTATTAAGTAGTCTGGGTGTTGCAGGGACTTTGCTTTGACCTGACTAAAGAGGTCAAGAAAAGATGGGGTCATGAGAAACAGTATAAATATCTGGGGCTTTTCAATGTCTAGGTCATTTTACCGTCGATGTTAATTTTCATCTTTGTCTTGCCTATGCTTAGCAGCTTTTATTTCTTCTTCTTCTTCTTCTCTTTTTTACTGCTAAGTCCTCTCAAGAGTATCCCAAAGTTCCAGTTTCTTGAACTAACTGGAGGGGTTGTTTTACCTGCTAAAATCCTTCAGGTTGAAGACTTCCCTCTCTTTTTCATCTGCGTTTTTGCTCTCCGGCTGTGTTTTAGTTTGCACCCATGCTAACAGATAACCCGCGGCTGCCAGGCCGTCCTTCCCTGGCTTCTGTTGCATACGAAGGTGGGCGTACCGGCCTACCATCTGCTCTAGGTCTGTACATTCCAGCTTTGTGCAAGAACACAGTAATCAATCACACAGTTTAATATGTCATGAGGTGGGTGTCATTGCCACCCACTTCCATAGGCACTTTTAAAAAATATTTCTTTTTATTTATTTCTTCTGCTGGCATACAGCCAGCTAAAAGCAAAATTCAATTAAATGTTCATGACAGTCTCAGGAATGCCAGTTTGTTTATATTTGTGTACTTTATCTTGCCATGACCTTCTGTGACAATTTCTAACATTGTAATACTTTTCTGAATAGAGGCAACTTTTGGCATTCCCATTTTGACTGTGATAATAATGTGACACCTATGAAGTAGTAATCAAAATAGGAAATCCTTTGTAAGTGCTGCCCCTTATAGCACTGATAGACAAATAAGCCTTACAGCCTTATTTGTCTCGGAAATATTTAAATACAAAAGTATAGCACTCCGCCGTTGTTTCAAACAAGGCAGTGATGCCAAAGGAAAATTCTTTCCTGTGGACTGTTACCAAGAGCACGAGAAAGAGTAGTGTTGATGTTTGCATTCAGCCAACAAGCAGTGTGAGTCATGGACCCCTGGTGCACCTCACTCTCCTTCCTCAGATGTACTCACGGGTCTCTGCCTCAGCCTTACTTGGGAGAAAAGAAGGATATCACCAAAGGGGATAAAACTCAAGTGCTGTGACTGCTTCAGGTGTTTGTGGAACAGGTTGCGGCAGCAGAAGATAACGTGCAGCTGTCATTTGGTGATTGGTAGCCATGCACTGGCGTCACTAGGCTCTTAAGCATGACAGGAAGCTTTGTGGGAAATTCTCTCCTGTGATGGGCACCGTAAGCCAATGGCCCTGTGCCGCTCTCATCAAGGAGCTCACGTTCCCTGGAACTTGGACCCTGCACTGTCGGGTTATTCCCATCCGTGGGGATATTCTTGGTGTCTCACTTAATTATCCCCCATGGTCAACTTAAAATTCTCTATCAAGAAATTCTCCTCTTTTCAGGAGTTTGCTGACTCGTATTTTTCCTCCGTCCGTGGCCTCTTCATTCAGTAGTTACCCTTATGTGTCATCCTCAGGCACTTCTCTTTCTTTGTCTCTTTCGTCTCACAGTAGAAAAAAATTCTTTTTTTCCAAGGGCTTCACTTCTTCCAGGGCTTCCTATATTTTCTTATGATCAGTACCTAGGTTTGCCTGCAGTAAGTTTCCTTCTTGTTTTATGAGTGTATTTTTCTTAGGAAATCCTCATTTTCTAGGCTGTACTATCCATTTGTAACCTGGGGCTTGGATTGCAATTTAATTCTCCTTAAAGCCTTCACTGAGTTTTGAGGAGAGACCTTGTTATTTGCTCTCCTTAGGAGAGAGCACAGTTAAAGGTCACAGTCTGTCTCCTCTCCCTAGAGGCTAAGGGTACTTGGACTGGGTGGCAAGGAGGGCAGGAGACTCCCCAGGCATGACGCTCCCTCCCAGTCTGGCACTGCTCCCCTGATGGCAGTATGGCATGGGGATTTTCATAGTGGCTCTGAAAGCACCTCCTGGCATTGACATCTGCCTGACAGCTGTCGGCAACTTGCCTTTTGTGAAGCCCTTCATCCGCCCGCTCACTGGGAGCAACCTCCAAGGTCATTGGTGCATCTCCAACGCATCTTCCTTCAACAATGTGTTGCAGCAGAAGAGTACTGACCTTGGGGTCTGACCAGCCTAGTTTCAAATCTCCATCCACCACTTCCTAGCCATGGTACTTTGAACTTGCTGCCTAAACCTCTGAGTCTTAGTTTTCTCATCTGTAAAATGGAGACAATAACATTTACCTTGTAGATTTGTTATAAATAGTAAATGAAATATGTGAAATGGCTCAATAGTGGCTGGTAGTTAGTAGGTGCTAAATAAAAGACAGACGTTACTGTTATTGCTCCTAGAATGCATTGTTAGCTTGGCAACTTGGTGTTGGCTTCAGCACTTCCTTTGTACATACAAAGGCACTTGTTCTTAAAGAATTTTTTTTTTTAAGAAGTTTATTTGAAGCTCCTCTAAGACAGGCACCACCCAGCCTCACATACTCTGCCCCCACCCTCTCTTAGCGCCCTCTTGCTGTGCCATTATCAAGGCCTCTAGTTTATGTAGCTGCCTTGGCATCAGCCAACCCTCATTTGCCCTAAGGGCTCCTATCCAGGACCTACCTTGTAGAGCTCGGTACAACCTATAGGTTCTGCCTGAACTTAGAAGGCACATAACAAAAACCTCACATGTGCCTGAATATTTTACTACGGACATATTAGCAGTTTCCTGTCCCCCTTGGAGTACCGAGGTGCCCAAATAAGTACTCGCAAAACAGCTCAAACTAAATATGCAAACTACAATCTCGTAGAAATCCTGGGCTGTCCTTCTGTGTACTTGTTATATATTACGCAATCATGCCTGAACAATAACTGTCATTTTCAAGCAAAATAGAAAATAGTTTCTGTCTTCAGGGCACACGATCCTCTAGAGATGAGGCGAGTGCAAACACAACCACGTGCAGCGTCATTTTCTGTGAATGTGATGTTAAAAATGTACGTGTGGGTTAGGTGTGGCAGGACTCTATGCAACACAAAAGAAAAGCTGGATTTAAAAACTTGAACCTCTGACTGCCCGTTCAGATCTCTACTCACTGCCTACTGCTTCTCTCTTTGGCTGCTGAGATTTTCATATATATATATATAAACATATATATATATATAAAGAAAACTAGAAAATCAAAATGGAGAGACTTAGGAGAAAATAGCTGAAAACACTTCACCTTTATGACTGTCTAAAGCAAGGATTTTAAAATGAACTTTTTGCATTTGAGTCGTTAGGGCTAAAAGCACAAATGTGGACGAGCTCTAAGACAGCTAAACTCTTGGAAATTTAGGAACACACCAGGCCTTCTTTGGCAGATGAACAGAAGGTTCAAAGAGCCCTGTAACTAATGGCAACACCTATAGCCCAGCTAAGCTAAGTACAGGGCTCGTCCACTTCCTCTGGATATAAGGCTCTTTGGGTTGTTAGAATGTGCTTTTAGCTCATTCTGGGTTCCTGGACAATGTTCTGAAGGGACTTACAGAAGGGACAATGGAAGCAGCATAGTCACCTAAATCACGCTTTCAGGACCAACTTTACCACTCATTCTATTTTCACCAGTTTTCTTCTTCTAATTTCAGCAGTGTCACAGGAGTGCATCGCTACAGTGACTTTTTCTCTCCTAAGTTCTAATGGTAACATTCTTGTTAGAATTTGATTTTAATCACTAAAATAAAAATATCCTTTACTGAGCCCTCCTTTGTGCCTAGCACTATGGTCTGTACCATATAGATAGATGATAGATGATAGAAAGATAGATAGATAGGTGATACATGATCTATTACTGCCAGTAGGGTTGGGTAAAGATAACATTTTGAGGTGGTAGAGAGGGAGACTGAAGGCGTTTATGCCTGTGTGATTTTTTTTTTCTATGTGAAAGAGAGACAGAGACAGAGAGATGGAGAGAGAGACAGAGAGAGACAGAGAGTGCCAGGGCAAAGTAAAACCTGGAAGAGAGCAAGCAAGTTTTGAAACAGCTGCTATGCAGAATGTTAAGGGAAACAACAGTGACTTAAAAAAGCAAACAACAGATTAGTGAAGTCCTAGGATTCTCGGAGGAGTAAATGGTTATCGCATCTTTGCTGTTGCCATTGTCTTTGCCACTGCCATCACTGTCAGCACCATCATCATCATCACTGTCATCGTCTCCAGAACAAATTATGCTTCAGCCACATAACCATTACGTAGATGAGAAAACTATTCCTTTGAAAAACTAATAATCATTTATGCTCATTTCATGCTTATCGTAGGGTGTTGCAGGGTGTTTTTATTCACTGCATTCACCTGTGCTTGCTTAGGTTAAGCCCGTGATACAGAGAGGCCACGAGAGTCTGGTCCATCACATCCTGCTCTATCAGTGCAGCAGCAACTTCAGCGACAGCGTCCTGGACCACGGCCACGAGTGCTACCACCCTAACATGCCCGATGCCTTCCTCACGTGCGAGACTGTCATTTTTGCGTGGGCCATTGGTGGAGAGGTGGGCCAATGATTACTGAGATGTAACGAAGTTAATTGATCATTTTTCCCCCTACGAGTCTAACACTTACATGTAAAACTCTATATACATTTTTTTTAATGTATTTATTTATTTTTGGCTGCGTTGGGTCTTCATTGCTGTGCGTGGGCTTTCTCTGGTTGCTGCGAGCAGGGGGCTACTCTTCATTGCGGTGCACGGGCTTTCTCATTGCGGTGGCTTCTCTTGTCGTGGAGCATGGGCTCTAAGTGCCCGGGCTTCATTAGTTGTGGCACGTGGGCTCAGTAGTTGTGGCTCACGGGCTCTAGAGCACAGGCTTAGTAGTTGTGGTGCACGGGCTTAGTTGCTCCGTGGCATGTGGGATCTTCCCGGACCAGGGCTCGAACCCGTGTCCACTGCATTAGCAGGTGGATTCTTAACTACTGCGCCACCAGGGAGGCCCTATATAGTATTTTTGATATGAGGGTGGTTTATTTTTCTTTCCATAGGAAGTAATTCTTTCCTTAAGCCATTTTATTTGATCAACTATAGATTAATGGAGTTGAAAAACGTTGAAATATCGTTGAGAATGGCTGGCTTTTGGGTGGAACAGAGCTCTGAGGGACTTTCACAGGACAGTTTGTCATGGAATTTTGCTTGTTTAGGGTTTTTCCTATCCACCTCATGTTGGATTATCCCTCGGTACTCCGTTAGACCCTCATTATGTGCTCCTGGAAGTCCATTACGACAATCCAACATATAAGGAAGGTAAGTGTATTTTTTATACATTTTACCTATGATTTTAAAAGTTTTGTAACTTTTTATTTTAACAGAGTTAAACAGACTTAAAATAAAATAGCATCCAGTGGTAGAAAGAATTAACCTATACATTTGTCATCCAATTAGGATACTTTTATTAGAATGAAAAAGGGCACTATTAGTAGTTACACTGGGACAACAGTCATTAACCAGCGATGAACCAGGCAAATGGGCGCATGTGATCACTAATTTTAAAAAGCAATTTGCATATTACTTACCAGGAAGTAGAATAATAGACTTTTCCCTTTATGATGTAAATTAGTCCCAAATACATGGTGCTTACAAAATGTTTTCTTTCTAAAAGCATATATAAAAAACTATCATTCATCACACTAGAAAATATTAAGCATTTTGTTGTGTGATAGGCAAACCATAAATATACTCAAAAATATTTATGCAGTGACACTGTGTAATATGATGTTGAAATGAAGAGAGGTAAGTATTTACACCTGAATTTACTATGTAATATTCCAAAGCCAAAAAATTGAAGGATTTAATATGAAATTATCAACAGAAGTAACTTAAAGTTATTATTTTACACTGATTCGTGCAATTTTTCAGCAAATACTGAGCACCAATGATGTGCTGGGTCTGTGTTTAACAACATAATGTCCCCACCCTCATGGACATTATAGTGTAGGGGAAAAGAGAAACAATAAAATAATCACAACAATTAATACAAAATTATATATATGTTAATTGATCAAAGGTCAGTTCGGTAGTCACAGGTAGGTAAGTCACCACTGCAGAGAAGAAGCAATTAATTTTATAGTGGAACGGATTTATGAAGTGTTGGGGCTCATACTGTCCATCCTTATGATAACTTATGTCACAGAAAGAGATGTGTCTTATTCATCTTTCCTCCCCACTGTGCCTGTTGTTGTGCTGTTCACATGATAGATTCTTAATAACTGTTTGTTGATCGAATGAGTGATGAATTATTAAAAGACTGGTAATAAACTATAAAGAAAGTTAACCATTAATACTTTTCTCCATCACCAGATGGTTTCTAGACCAAGGGGTTTTCACCTCTATGTAAATGGTACTGAACTTCACCTCAAAACAATGTACAATGAAACTCCTGTTGAGTTATTCTATATTCTAATGAATGACTTTAGAATTTTCGTTCTGTCTTCATATTAGGTAATTGTGGAATATATCAGCTAGTCAACACAAATGTGTCTCCTATGGTATGCTGTGTAAGTCAAGAATGGTTGCAGACCATATGGCGACTCGTCTTTTAATACCTCTTTGTGAAGCTGAATGTTGCCATCCATTAATCTTTGCTTGTACTCCTTTCCCTTGTGAGATTATTAAGAAAAGCCAATGAACCCATTTCAACTGAATCTGGAAAACTTTTTCTTTTTTAAGAACTTAAACTCACTTTTAATTATTCTTGTTTAAACGCTCGTTCCAGGCTTATTAGATAATTCTGGATTGAGGTTATTTCACACGACAGATATAAGGAAATACGACGCTGGGGTGATTGAGGCTGGCCTCTGGGTAAGCCTCTTCCACACAATCCCTCCAGGCCTGCCTGATTTCCGGTCTGAGGGTCACTGCACCCTGGAATGCCTGGAAGAGGTATGCTATGTCTGAGTCTGTGAGCTGCTGTTTCCAGATTAATCTATGCTCTTAGAAACTATGTTTGGAAAATTCCAAGTTAGTTTATTATTAATCTTTTTCTTGTTGTCATGCTGTAAAACAATTATTTACAATTTTAGCAAGACCTTTATTGCTTTTTTAAATCTTGAAGACTACAGGTGTAGAATTCTAAAGACAGGAATAATTTTCAGGGTGTTTTCCTTCCTTTCCCCTCCTTTGATTGTTTCATAGTGGATACTTCACTTTCTCTTTTACAATTTTGACCTTTGTTTGTGTAGTCCCCTTTTCCTTTCTCAACTTTATCTTTTATCCATATTTGTTTTCTCCATGATTCATTTTCATTTTTTTCTCATTTTCTCTGATTTGTAGTTGCCTTCCCTTCTTTAACCAAAGAGCCAGAATAACTAATATAAAAATACATATTGGATAAGAGAAAACCATATATAAGTATTTCATAATGGCTGCTTCCATTTATAGTTCTTTTTCCTTGAATTAAAGTATTTCGACATGGTTAGTATTCCTTATGAATTATAGGATATTGTGGTTGTAGACAGTGTGGCAGACTGGTGGAGTGGAAAGATTGTTTTCTTCTGAGTTATTTAAGCCATTTAGACCATGAATTAAATTGCCATGACATCAACCACTAGCTGTAGGACCATGAGCATTTCATTTAATTTCACTCTCCCAGTTCAGTTTTCTCATCTGGAAAAGTGGGAATAGATTCTCCTTTTAAGAGTTTCAATGTGCAAGCTACCAACGTACTGGAATCTTTCTGCCAGGAGCTTTGACTGCTTTCTTACCTACTAAAAGAAGAAAGAAGAAAGATAATATTTAGAAGTGGTCCAGTTGGTCCTCAGCAAGCATTAGTTCCTTTTCTTTTCTCCCAGCCAGTATTGCTTCACAAAGATATCACTGCTAGGTATAAGTCAGGAAAAATCCAAATTCAAAATGTCTGGCAGCTCATGCATTCACTCAAATTGTGTAAGCGTTTCTTCTCAGTTGTCTCTACAAGTCTGTTTTAAGGTGAACTGTCTGAGCTTATTTGGGCTAATCAGGCCTCTCTGTGTCCCCTGTAGGCTTTGGAAGTTGAAAAACCAAGTGGCATCCACGTGTTTGCTGTTCTGCTCCACGCTCACCTGGCAGGCAGAGGCATCCGGCTGCGTCATTTTCGCAAAGGGGAGGAAATGAGATTACTCGCTTATGATGATGATTTTGACTTCAATTTCCAGGAGTTTCAGTACCTAAAGGAAGAACGAACAATCTTACCAGTATGATTGTTTTGTTCTTTTTCACTGAATGTCATCAAAGTCCTGAGACGTAGGTCTGCTGAGAATTAGCCAGGTTTCTACTGGTGAAATAACTCGCTCATCCATATCCTCAAAGCCACCCACGTGGCTGTCGCACAAGCCACATGGAATGTGTTTGCTCTGTTTTCCCAAACTGAAACTCGTTTTTCTTACTATTCCCAGGGGCAACTCAAGTTGTTGATTTACAAAGAAAATAAAAACTTGGGTTTTGTGCGTAAGCATCATTTTTTTTTTTTTTTTTTTTTTTACTTGACTCCCCAGTTAACAATCCTTTGGCTTGCAGTTCAGGTAACGGTAAGATCAGAAGTTTGCTTTCACCATAAGATAGTTTTTGGAAGTTTCATTTCAGTAAAAATGAATATAAGGTAATTCTTTCATTTGACAAAGATATTTGGACATAGCTAATTATTCTATTGTGTGTAATCCAGCTTGCAACAGTACTTGGGGTTCTAGTGGAAGGACACAGAAGAGGATTTTATGTTTTATAATAATGAAGAATTTAAAAAATTTTATGATGCTTCATTTTGTCAAATTTTTTGTTTAATGGCCATCAAGCTCAATAGTTATATAAATTCCTACCCTTATTCTCTTCTTAAAAGTCAGATACTTATACTAGTTACGAAGTGAGAGTAATAGCAATATCTTTTCTACATGCAGAAATTCCCTGATACACCCTGAGAGTAGGAAGATGAAATTTGAGAAACAGTGATCTCAAGATTCTTAAGGACTACCCTCCATTTTATGGTGTTGTCTTGTCTTGGGACTCTCCACCCAGTTTTATTGGGTTATCTCAGAACTCCTTGTGACACATAACTGGTGTGCCATAAGTAGGGTATAAGTATGTTGAGCTACTGATCTCTGGGCTCTCTGAATATCTAGGCAGGGAGGACAAATCTGGGGGCCATTACCCAGAGCTCACTCCCTCTGATGAATAGCCTGTCCACTCACCTGACTGGGGAGCCATAAAAAATTATTTTCATTATGTGCAGAACTGTTCAAAAGGTTGGAAAGTACGGGAAAAATAAATTACTAGTAATTTGCCTCATAAATCTGTTTTAAGAAAATGAATACCTAAGGACCTTTAAAGAAAATAATGTAAATGAGGAGATAATCACAATAACTAGTATCTGTGGCTTTTATGAAGTGTTTTATCTGCACTAAGAGCTAAATGTGTGCTCTGTCATGTAATCTCCCAACAGCTGTGCAAGATAAGTGCTATTTTTATCATTATTTTTTAGATGAACAAATTGTGCCCAGTTGAGTCATTTCCTTACCTAGGTCATGCAGCTAGAACATGGTGGAGTCTGGCTTGAACAAAGAGAGCCTTATTTGTTTCTTTGTTTGCTTATTATACGAGCAAACCTAGAATTTAATAGATCAAAGGTCTTCTTATGAATCAAAGTACTTAATGCATGCATTCATATAGCAAATTAAACTGTTGGTCTACAAATGTATTAGATAAATAGAACATGAAACGCCAATCTGAAAGCTTCTACTTTTATGTTTTAGGGAGATAATCTAATTACTGAGTGTCGCTACAACACAAAAGATAGAGCCCGGATGACTTGGGTAAGAAGAATTTTATTATTATTAAAATTTATTTGTGGAGGAGGAGGAATAAACTTTGATCTTAGAAGAGAAATAAGTGAAAAGCATTCACTTTTTTGCATTTGGAAGCAAAATTCCTGAACGTCTTGAACATGAATCATCATAAAGGTAAAATCAGAGCTGTTTTAGCATTTTATCAGATTAACTAATGATACTTTGGTAATATTTGCAGTGTAATTTAGTGACCCCTTCAGGAAAAGCTATCCTTAGTCTTTCAGTTTTTCCTCACCAAATATTATTATAAAGACCTGTGGTCACTAATGACCATGCGCGTGAGTCTGGACTTAGATGAATCGAGACTTCAAAAGGAAGAATAAATTCCATGACCTTAGTGCTTCTGACCCAAAGAGAAATCTGGTCCCAACAGATTTACTGGGGAGTTCGGCCACACATTCAAGAAATAAATCACTCATGCCTTCCTCGGTCTCTTCCAGGGAGCACAAAAAAAGGGGGAACACCTTCTACCAACTCATTTTAGGAAGTTAGCATAAGCTTAATACTGAAACTTGATATGGGCAATACGAGAAAGGTCCACAACGTGCACCAGAGGGAAGTAACTTTGACAAAGTATCGACAAACCAAATCCAGCATTATGTAAGACTGTAACGTTAGGACTGATTTGGGCTTAACTAAGGAATGTAAAATTGGTTCAAATTAGAAAATACACTAATGCCATTATACATTAAGAGATCGAAGGAAAAAGACTTATGATCACTTCAACAGGGGCAGAAAAAGCATTCATAAAATTTGTCAGTCATGGGGGGAATAAAGGACATTTAGCAAACTAGGAATAGGAGAGAATTACCTTAACCAGATAAACATTAGCTGTGAAAAATCTATAGCAAATATCAAACTAAGTGAAATGCTAGAAGTAATTCTTTAAAGTCAGGAAGAAGACAAGGATGTTTATTATCACTGGTTTTATTCAATATCGTAGTAGAAAAGAAAAAATGAGATATAAAGATCAGAAAGGAAGAAGCGAAGAAATAAAACATTATTTACAGATATTGTAATTTTCCACATCAAAACCTCCCCCAAACTGATAAATCTAAAGTTAATTGTATTTTAGTGTACGATAAATTATCTCAAGAAAATTCAATTTAAGGCTATAAATCCTATAGAAATAAAATAACATTAGATGTGTTTGATCTCTATGGAGAAAATTATTAGTCATTATGTAAGACATTAAAGATCACCTAAAGAAATTAAGAGATACTGTGTTCATGGATAGAAAAGCTCAGTGAAACAAAGATAATCTTTCTTTTTCTTTTTCTTTTTTTTTCTTTTTAAATTGGTTTATAAATTTGATATAATTCCAGTAAAGAAAGATCAGAGAGATTTTATGATTTGGGGTTTTGGTGTCTAACTAAGAAATCTTCACCTAGCCAAAGGTTTTCTCCTATTTTTTTAAAAAAAATTTCTAAAAATGTTACAGTTTTAGCTTTTACACGGAGCAAGTTGATTGTAAAATCTACATAAAAGAGCAAAGCGTTAAGAATTGGCAAGACACTACTAAAAAGAACAAGATGGGAAACAAGCTACTAGATTTGATGACTTATTTTAAAGCTATGGTGATTAATAGTGTGGTTTGCGTCCAGAGTTGGAAGAGTGTACTGGAATAGGGATCCTGGAAACAGACCTACAAACCCCCTGTATGGGAACTTGGTTTAAGATCGAACTGGCATTCAGATAAGTGGCAAAGGATGGACTTTTTCATTAAAGAATTACTGGCACAGTTGGGTATCCAGATGACAAAAATAAAATTACATCTTTATCTCCCACAATGCACAAAAAAATAATTTCTAGGTAGATTAAACATTAAAATGTGAAAAACAAAATATTAAAACCACTAGGAGAAATATATATAAATATAACTTTAGTACTTTGGGGTAAGAACTTATTAAACAGAACATAAAAAGTGCAAACTATAAATTAGAAGATTGATGAACTTGATTACCTTAACACTTTTGGTTACCCAAAAAACACTATTAAGTGAAAAGATAAGTTCTAAACTGAAAAAAAAAATTGCAATACACAAAGCATTAGTATCCAGCATATAAAATAAATTCTATAAATCCATAACATAAGACAAACATACAATAGAAAAAAAGCAGAAGTGTGTCCCTCACTGGACATTGCCATCGGTGTCAAGGAATGACCCACTTAAAGTTATACTCTCTTCAGTGGGGCAGCCAGCAGCCAATGACTGGTTGATGTGAGAATACAAAAGCCCAATTCCCTTCCTACAATTTGGTATAACTCTGAATAGCCAACCCAGCTCAGGAACAAATTAAATATATTTACTGAGGTGTCAGCTGCACTGAGGAGATCAGCTTCTCCTTTTGCCCAATCCTGCATCAAGTGCAAAGCATTCTGTTTTGCAGTTTGTAAAATCATTGCACATTAACCACTACATTAATGTATAACTATGAACAACACTACTATGTTTTTCACCTTCACTTTTGAAAGATAGATGATTTGCTGGATACAGAATTTTTGATTAATTTCTTTTTCCCTGGAGCACTTGAAAATGTGATTCCAATATCGTTTTATTACTTCCATCATTTATGATGAAATGTCAGTTGTTCACTGTATTACTGTTCCCCTATATGCAATGTATCGTTTTTCTTTGCCGCTTTCAAGATTTTCTCTTTGTCTTTTAGCAATATGACTCTGATGTGTCTAGGTATGGCTGTCTTCATAATTACCTTTGGCATTTATTGAGCTTCTTGGGTCTGTAAGTTAATGTTTTTCACTAAATTTGGGAGGATTTCCACCATTTTTTTCAAATATTTTTTCTATTCTTTTTTTCTCTTCCCTCTCATTCTGGAATTCAAATTACATACATGGAACATTTAATATTATCTTACAGATCTCTGAGGTGTTTTCACTTTCTTTAGTCTTTTTTCCTCTGTGCTTTGGGTTGGGAAATTGCTATTGATTGATCTTCAAGTTCACGGCTTCCTTCCTCTGCCATGTCAAGTTGCTCTCGAGCTCATCCTGTGAATTTTTAATTTAGTTATAGTACCTTTCAACTCTAGAATTTCTATTCGGTTCTTTTTTCTAATGTTTTCCTTTGTCTGATGTCATTCCTTATTTGTTCACTCATTTTTCACATATTTACCTTTAATTATTTGAACATCTTTCTTTAGCTCTTTAAATATATTTATGTCTGTTTTTAAGTCTTTGCTGAATCCAGCATCCATGTCCTCTCACAATTTATTTCTACTAACTTTTTGTCCTGAATACAGATCATAGTTTCCTGTTTCTTTTCATGTTTAATAACTTTTGGTTGAAAATTGGACATTGTTGTAGCAACTCCAGATGCCGTTCTTCTTTTTTAATTAGTACCTAATTTACTACTTAGATTCAAACTGTGAACTGTGCCTCCCCTGTGGTATGCAGCTGCTGATGTTTATACACATGACAGCAAGATTATGGAAAACTCAGTGCAATCAGGCAAAGATTCCATCACACTGACCGATCGGTATCTTGTTACTGAACATCCTCTGAAATGTTCACTGTGGTGAGAAGTTTACATCACATACTCTGAACTTTGAGGAGATTATTAAGTTATTTAAGAAAGGCAGCTTTTAAAGAGATGGAAATAACTTTATTAATTTTTAACTGTGCCACTATCTTTTGAAAAACCAAATTGGCCTTTAAGTGATGATTTTTCAGCTTTAAGGTTTATGACGTTTCAATACAGGAAGAAACTGCATAACATTTGCAGCTTGTGTTCTATAAGTGTCAGAGTTGGTGGAACATATACGTCTCTAAATAAAGTATCTCCATTTTCAGGGAGGATTAAGCACCAGGAATGAAATGTGTCTCTCATACCTTCTTTATTACCCACGAATTAACCTGACTCGATGTGCGAGTATCCCAGACATTATGGAGCAACTTCAGTTCATTGGTGTTAAGGAGATCTACAGGCCAGTCACGTAAGTAGTAAATGGATTTCGTGGTAGGGGTAAGGATGGGCTTTATTTTCACAGTAGATTCATCACCATGGTATGGGATTCCTTCATGTGCTGTTCTATTTGATTATTTTCAATTGGGGAGTCCAAGGGACCTTCTTGCTTGTTATGTCCAGGGTCCTTGAGACTACTCTTAGGTTCAGTAGTTTTCTAGGAAGACCTAAAGGATTCAGCTTATAGTTGTACTCATGACTAATATTTATTACAGTGAAAGAATATAAAGGAAAATGAACAAAAGGAAAAGGCACATGAGGTAAAGTCCACAGGAAACCAAATGCAAGCTTCCAAGAGACCTCTCCTAGTGGAGTCACACAGAGTGTGCTTAATTCCACCCACGTCAAATTATGACAACATATATGAAGTGTTGTCAACTGGAGAAGCTCATCAGAGACTCAGTGCTGAGAGTTTCTATTGGGGGCTGGTCACATAGGTGCCCTCTGCTTAGCAAATAGCAAAATTCCAGACTCCCAGAAGGAAAGCAAGTGTTCAACATAAACAGCATCATTCATACAGACAGTCTAGGTACAGTAAGTTACTCTTATCATTTGGAGAAAGTTTTATGTCCTATAGGAAATTGTTTGCTATTTAAGTTCCCTGATGCCAGCCAAAGGTCAGCCTTCCAAGCAGGTGTTCCTAAGGATGGCAGTCTCACGCCTTCTGTGTTAACTCTTTGTGCACAACTGCATATAATAGAAATGACTTAGGATAAAATTATAAACAAGAGAAATATTATTCCTGCTCCCTTGAGATTATGTGCAAGAGTCGGGAAGAGGTAATAAGCAAATAAACAACATAATATAAAATTTCAGATATTAAAAGATGTTACGAAAATAATCAAGACAGTGAAGGAAGTGTATAGTTGTTCTCAGTAGGGTGGTGAGAGCTTCTCTTGGGAGGTGTCTTAGTCCATTTGGACTCATTACTGCCATAGACAGGGTAGCTTATAAACAACAGAAAATGTATCTGTCACTGTTCCAGAGGCTGAGAAGTCCAAGATCAAGATTCTGGCAGATTCAGCATCTGGTGAGGACCCACTTCCTCACAGACAGCCATCTTCTCACAGTGACCTCATGTGGGAGACGGTCAAGGGAGCTTTCTCAAGCTGCTTCTATAAGGGCACTAATCCCATGTATGAGGACAGAGCCTCCCAAAGGCCCCACCTCCTAATAATGTCACCCTGGACATTAAGATTTCAGCATGTGAATTTCGGAGGGTGTCGGAACACAGATATTCAGACCATAGCAAGAGGTGATGTTTGAGCAGAGACCTCAGCGATCAGGAGCCAGTCAAAGAAAGATATGCAAGTATACTCTTCAGGGAGAAAAGCCAGTATAATGGATGTTGGGTATGAGGTTAGCATGTTCAAAGAACAGCAAGAAGCTGAGTTTGGCTGAAGCAGAGTGAAATTTGGCAGAGAGTAGGTGACGAGGTCTAAGAGCAAGTGGGACCGTATAGTGTAGAACTTTTCAGGCAACATAAGGACTTTGGGTTTTAAGTGTGAAGAGAAGCTATTATAGGGTATAGGGTATTATGAATGTTAATTTAGCTACTGCATTGAGAAGGGACTCTAGGAGGGCAAGATTGGAAAGAATCATATCTACCTGGAGACTTGTGATTGTCCAGTTGAGAGGTGAGGGTGCCTCGGACCAGGATGGTGCCAATAGTGTTTATGAGAAATGGTTCCAATCAGGTTAGCTTTTGAAGGTAGCACTCTCTGGACTTGTTGATTGACTGCATCTCTGGGAGATGGTGAGGGAAAGAGAAGAGTAAAGGGAAAGTAAGGATATGTGAATGGTGCAGGGAAACATGTTTGAAGAAGAAATGGAGAACTATTATTAATTAATTATTATTATTAATATTAAGGTTGATGTAGACTAAAAGGGTTTTATCCATCCTTAGTAGTGCCACAAAGAATTAGGGCGGCTGGTAGAAATTTTGAAGTGTAGATTTTATTTTAATATAAGGAAGTATTTTCTAATGATTAGGATTTTTCAAAATGAAAAGGACTGATGTAATTAGGCAAAAGATACACATAGAGTTTTGAGGGGGTGTATTTAAGGAGAGCTTAAATAAACTCTTAATGAGGATGTGGTAAAATGCAGATCTGAAGGAGAATATAATTATGGTCTCCTTTTTTTTTTTTTTTTGCGGTACGCGGGCCTCTCACTGCTGTGGCCTCTCCCGTTGCGGAGCACAGGCTCCGGACGCGCAGGCTCAGCGGCCATGGCTCACGGGCCCAGCCGCTCCGCGGCATGTGGGATCTTCCCAGACCGGGGCACAAACCCGTGTCCCCTGCATCGGCAGGCGGACTCTCAACCGCTGCGCCACCAGGGAAGCCCTGGTCTCCTTTTTGTTCCAAAATTTTATAGGGATTATAAATTAGGAACTAAAAACACTTTTATTTTTAAATTGAACCTGCTAGTCATAGATATGTTCTACTGAGTTCTTATCCAGACAACCCAATGACCACTAGACAATAAGTCTGTATCTACTAAAATACAAATAACAAAATGCTGGTGTAAATTAGGTTGTAGGTTATGAAGTATTTTCACATACATGAGTTCATTTAATATATTTTCACACAATTCCAATAGGTAGAGCAGTATTTGCAATCCCAGTTTAGAGGAGGAAATGGAAGCTATGAGATTAAAAATCTGTTCAACCTCATAGAGTACATACTAAATGGGGGAGCTGGGGTTTGTATTGTGGTTGCTGATACATGTGCCTTTTTGTTCACAATCAATAACTACGTTGCAAATAAGTAAATAAAATATCAATAAAAATCAAAACAGCACATAAAACATCATTCTAAAAACAATAGGATGTAGTCTTGTCTTTAAAATATTGAGATTATATTGTTTCTTACTAAGACTTAAGTAGTTTTTTTTTTCCCTTTAGAATATTTTTAACGTATTGACTAGAAACTTTTCCTAATCAAGAGAATGTTGGAGTGAATGTTGGATGAACATTCAAAACCGTGTATTTACAAGATGAATGAAATGTGTTCTGTGGTCCAGTTATTTTCTTTTGTGTTCAACTTGTGTGAAGTCTCTGAAACACTCAGCTCCTGTGTCCCAACGAGCTCTGTCAGTGTCCGCACGTTTGGTCTCCTTCAGGAAATATTGAAGTTGGGATTTTCATCACTTCTCAAGACAGGGAGGGTTGCTTCAAAGAACAAGGCCAGTTTTGAGATGGTATTGCCCACATAAAACCATTTAACTACATGGTTAAATATAGTTATTCTTCAAAAATATGAGTGAAAAAGAGCCTCTGTTATAAAATACACGTTTGGACTTTAAATCAGACTTTCAAGTCTAGTTCGTCATCACACTGACAAAAATATCATTAAAGGCCAAACCAACAAGGTTCTGGTGAAAGGATCAGAAAGAGAGAAATGGTTTGAGTGCTTTTTTTCTGTTTTGCTAATAAGAATATCGCTAATTTGGTTTTAGGACACAATACTAAACAGGAATATTATAGAACATATAACCTAGAATCTCCTATTTTTGCTTTTAATATAAGGACTATTTAGGTGTCCAGTTTTTTTTTAAACATTCTGTAGCAATTCTAGGATTAAAGGATGCATTGGCGGAAAGATAGAGACAAGTACATCCTGTCTCAGGAATTGTCTGTTTTGGGGGATGCAGTTTTTCTCTGCCTCCTACAGATCTGGCAAGGCTTAAGGAAAAACAAAAAACTCCCAAAGATCAGATAACAGAGTAGACAATGAGCTCAGATAAATTTGTATTCTCTGCCGCACCATACATCACCACTGTCTGTGTGGTTCCAGTGAGGTTTATGTGATGGAAAGTTCCTGCCTTATTTGTTCTATTTCTTAAAAAAAAAAAATCAAGAGAGGTGTTTGTGTTTTTCTTTGCAGGAAAAAAATTACTTTATGTTGATAAGGTGTAAAAGTCACACAGGCTTTATTATAGAGTTTAGGTAATGCGGAAAAAGGTTTAAAAAAGAGGACGGGGCTTCCCTGGTGGTGGTTGAGAATCCACCTGCCAGGGCAGGGGACAGGGGTTCGAGCCCTGGTCCGGGAAGATCCCACATGCTGCGGAGCAACTAAGCCCATGCACCACAACTACTGAGTCAGCACTCTAGAGCCCGCGAGCCACAACTAGTGAGCCCACATGCCACAACTACTGAAGCCCACGCGCCTAGAGCCCATGCTCCACAGCAACAGAAGCCACCGCAGTGAGAAACCCGCGCACCTCAATGAAGAGTAGCCCTCGCTCACCGCAGCTAGAGAAAGCCCACGCACAGCAAAGACCCAACGCAGCCAAAAATAAATAAATTGAAAAAAAAAAGAGGACGAAAGCAATCACCCCAAATTCTGTTAGAAATAAGCAACACTAACATTAATGGAATGTCATTACAGACATTTTTCTATGTAGGTATTGATATGAAGATGAATAGAGTAGCATTAGAAAGATTATAATTTGTGCACTGCTTTAAACAAAAATATTAAAATTTAATTTTGTTTTAATTTATCAGAAGAAAAAGAAACTAAATCAAAATTGAATAACTGTTGAACAAATAAACATTGCTATTGTTTTTAACTACAAGAGATAATATTGTATAAAGGAGCTCTCAAATGTTGAGAAAATAGATCATAAAAGATATTAACACATTTTCTTAAAAAACATGTTTCAGTTTTAGATCATAAAGATGAGGACATTCACACGTTCACATTTTCTCCCAACCTCCCTTTTGTACCTCCAAATATGTATTATTTATATTAGAATTTTTGTATTCTCAAGATTTTAAATTTTCACATTTAATTCTAAAACATAATTTCCACAATATTTAATGCAACTTTTATAGATTCAGTGATAATCCCTAATCTTTATATGATTTCTGCATTTCTGAGTTCTTTAATTTGATTCCTCAGGGTTTTGTCCTCAAGTTGCTTAATCAAGAAGGGCTTCCATGTGCCCTGAGTTCCTTTATATTTGAAA